TATTGTTGTTGTCGTTGTTGCTTATTTTTTAAGAAGAAATGTCATTATCAGAATACAGCCCTAGAAATCCTACCAAAGCTAAAATAATGACAACTAGTGAACTGGCAAGTCCTCTCCTGAAGAACAAATGTATAGATTTTATTTTTGATGGTTATATAGATCTCTATATCCTAATTTACTAATGTTAATCAGGGGCCAGCTTTGCTCTCCATTTTGACATGAAATACAAGAATTTAAAGATATACCTCAAGATTATCACACTGATTCCCACCCCCTCAAAAAACACTAGTAACCCACTCTTTAACAACAGGAATCAAAATTTGGCTATTTATTTGGCTGACTCTGGGATGTAAAATGAGTGTTATAATGCAATCCTATGCATGTCTACCCAGAGGTAAGTCCCACTGAATTCAATGAGACTTACTTCCATGTAGAAATGTGTAGGATTGCAGCCTTAATTGCCTAAGGAAATTGTATTGTAGAAAGCATAAGAGGGCATTTGTGAAGTTTGTTTCCAGGGATGTTTTGCACTGTTGGCTGAATGAATAGGCATACACATCTGCAAAGAAGAACATGCTTGTCTTTCAGCAGAGAACAAGTGAGGAAAGAGTGCAGGGGCTCTTAACACAGAATTCTTTTCAGAACCTAGCCCCCTAAAATCACTAGGCTCTAAGTCAGCAAATTGCTGACTAATGCAGTGAGGGGTTTTAAACATGTAAGTGGGAACACAGCACATGTTCAAGTTAAGGCGCAAGGTGGAGTTGGTTAGTTTGAAATTGTCACTTGATGCTCTGTCAGTCTGAGAAAATTGATAGGAGTGAATGTGTTCAGCTGTTAATAATGATAAATGTAGCAGTGTGCAAAACAGCCGAGTTCCTTGGCAATCTGAACTGGCATAGTTACCACCATAAGACTCTTAAACCAAAGACTTGCCTTAGCACAGCTGCAGGAAAAAAAAACATCTCTTCCATAAGCCCACTCCCTCCCCATTCCTACCCTCCCAATTATCTTCGAGAAGCAGTTTTTATTTTCAGTACATAAAACATACCTTGTTATTTTCCAAAGGTCAAAATGGAGACATTTGCTGTCTATTCGTCAAGTAGAGAAGGGAGCTGCTTTTAATGAAATCCCTGCAAACATTGACAACAGTAAACACAAATGGAGAGTGCTCTTTTGTAGACTGTCAGGGACCTTTTTCTCTGAAGTAAATAATTATAGTTGGAATATTCCTTTTAATTTTTTTAAACGCTTGTAGGTGGCTTGGGGTGTCTTATTGTGCCGATCTACCCAGTGAACAGGTGAGATGGGTTACCATTACAAGAAATAACACTGTTTGAGAAGTAGCTTTGAATAATAATTTTTTCCCTTTGTACATGACCTGCTGAATTTCGGTACAGTGTTTTTGTAGCTAACTTATTTTGTCATGCACATAATGTATATTTGTTATGCACTACTTTTGTATATCTTGTTTTTCCAACAGTGAGCATTTTTAGGCACACTTTTCACTGACGGGATATCTCTTTATGCAATACCTCAATTTTTCATATTGCAAAGAGTAGCTTTTTGTACTTTTATTACTGAGAGATCTTCATATACTTCATTTTTTAATATAAATAATTTTAATAAATTTTATTTTCTTATATTCTGCTTTTTATACATTTCAGTGCTCTGCATACATTTTGAATTATGGATGTTGTGCACTGGCAATGCTATTTTAGAATTTGCAGAGAAAAGAAAGCATGTTGCTTAAACATCTTTAGCCCAGCACCAGGTATTTGGTGTACATATAATTTAAGAAATACTTATATGTAAAGTTGAGACTTAAAAAAAAGACATTTTTAAAAAAGCATGAAAGTGACAAATGAGAGTTTGTCTTTAGACCCTTGAAATTTAATGCATAAGCATAGAATAGAAGTTTAAAAGTAACATCCCAAAATGTCTACCGCTTCTTAATAGGTTTTTAAAAGTAATACACAAATGCAGATGTTTTTTGGTGAATGTTTAGCCATTTTTAATCTTAACAAATTGATGTTAGGTGTTTGCAGAGATGTGTCTGCTCTTTTAAATCATATTTAAGGAAATAAACCCAAGCCTGCCCAGTGGTGGGCATGTAATGTTAGTATGCATGACTAATATTAAAAGAAAAATGTTATTCTACTAATATTCACTTGTGGTGATTGTGTGAAAAGCGTGTTTACAGATTATTTGGTTACACTTCAATTTACAGGGCATAAATGATTATCTATATTACTCTGTACTCAAAATAGTGCTAATATAATATGTCCTTTTGATTACATGGGAGGTGGAGTTGCCATGTCACTCTGAGCATAACTAACATGAAATTAGTGTTAAAATGTTAGGGTATCACTTTATTTTGAAGGGATGTAAACAAGCATGTCATGTTCTTTCATAAGCATGGCACTGGCCATGTATTTACAAGTAGTTACAGAGTAATTACATGGTTATTTTTGCAATGTAAAATAAAGTGTTTCGGATTATTTTGTATGTAAAGGAATCCCCACTGCCCCGTGCTTTTTTGGTATATAGTATCTACTTCTCCATACACAGACCTCTGCAGAAAGCAAATCTTAAAACTTGCAGTGAATGACTTTAGTGTTTTATAAGGATGCTGTTGGAAAGACTTGATAATTCACCCCTTTTTTGTTTCTTGAAGAGTTAAAGCCTTCTGTTTTAAAAGGTGATTTAAAACTTGAATGTGATGAATTGTGGCAAGTTAACTTCAAGTTATGTGCAATACTTATTTCAGACTTCTGGAAGATCTTTGCAGTGTAATTCTTTGTTTTTAATTGCAGACATTTAAAAATGTCATTTTCTACTGTTCTAGTAAATCCTCTTTCTTGCTGGTGTTTCTAAAGAAAAGAATCAGAAATCAATCTTTCTACTAATGTAAATTTGAAATTATTTTTTAAAAAAGGAATAAAAGAGGTTTTGGTCATTTGCTTTATTTTATTATCTTATTTTAAAGCTACTGTGATTGATAGCATTGTAAGAATTGGGACAATATTGTATTCAACTGTTTTATTTTTTATATTTTTAAAATTTAAAGTATAATTAGTTTTTATAATTTTCATCAGATTCTTTTGTTATATTTTTTGGAATTGAAACTTTTAGCAAGTGGGTGTCTAGTTTTTACTAATCCCTAATATGTTTTCCCCCAATGTAATGCTCATATTATCAGAAGGAAAAGTTATTTAAGTATGTCAGTTACTTGTACTACTTGGCTGAATTTCCATATAGTTTTTACTGTGTATGGGGAGGTTGTAGTATTTATTATAGCATTTTAAATAAGGGTAATTCATTTTTTATTAAAGTCATTTTCACAATTTAAGTTCATATTTTTGTATGTTCTACTCTAAGTTATAACACAAGTTTCTTTTTTAAGAGGGTTCATTTGTTGAAGTGCTAGTGAAAAATTAATGTTATTAAATAGTTTGCAAATGACTATTTATACCAGTATGCATATAATTTTTAAATATTTGTAATGTGAGATGTTGAATGAATAAAACTTTTAACGCAATTATTGCTAGGCCTGTTACTTTGAATTCTTCAGAGTTGGGACATAATGATTTACCTTTTCAGCTGGGTCAGGAGTCTGTCTAGCCCATTATTTATCAAGGAGCTGTGTGGTGGAGTGGAAAGAATTTTTGGTGAGAAAATAGCTGTCTCAGAATCAGATCTCTGCTCAGCCATGAAGTGCATTGGTTGACCTTAAGGCCAGTAATTTCTCAGCCTTGCTTGCATTTATTTTATTGCTGTTAATGGTAGCAGTTGTAAAACATTGAATAATGTGTCCTGGAAACAACTAACATCTGTTTTATTATGTTTTATTTGTTGCATTGTTCCATTTTCTGCTTTGGAAGAAATGTACAACAACATAAAACATTTGTGAAGAATTATCTAATTATGTGCTGTGTATACTACAGAGCCAGTGAAATACAGAGGACAAAGTTTTGGATTTTGACCAAAGAGACTGAGGTTCAGATTTCTGGTCCAGGAAGGGAACAGAAGGAACAAAAAGAGGAACCCTAAAAGATATACTAGGTTTAATATACCTTATTTTTTGCTCCATAAGACGCACCTCTCCATAAGACGCACCAAATTTTTAGGAGAAGAAAACAGGAAAAAATAATCTGTTGTCTTCGCTCCATAAGACGCATAGACTTTCCATCCCCCTGTTTTGTGGAAAAAAAGTGTGTCTTATAGTGCGAAAAATACGGTAGTTAAATTTATTCAAAGTCTTGCAGGTCTTTAGGAACAATATTTAACCAAAACAGTCTGCTATATAGTGAGTTGTAAAAAAGCTGGTTAATACTATTGCCTGTGAATTTCTTGAGTCTTACTTCAATCTAATAAAATTGGCCATTACCTTGGGTCCTTTCCTGATACATAATTACATAGTATTGACTTTCATTGCCAAGGCACAAGGAAATCTGCCCTCTTCAGTCCTGTCAGAAGCCTTGTAACAGGTTCTCCCGTTGTTCTGGGATGCTTTTGAGTCCTTGATCCTCCCTCCCAGTGATTGTCAGCTGTGGTTGAACATGTATCATTGCTGGGCAAATTGAAGTCCAACAATAGGGATAGTCCTGAAGGACTTTTCCTCCAGACATTAGTGATTGTGGATAATGTGCTGTGAGGATAAGTCATCAGCTGTCTTCTCAAATGTCACCATGGGGGATGAGCCAGATACTATTTATATTTTGTAAATTTGGTACTTGGGAAAGATCTGCTGTCTCTGGCGGGAGTCTCATGTGACTTTGGCATGAATCTTCAGCAGACTCAGCATCCTGGCATTTATTTTTAAACATACAGCCTTCCTTATGTCAGCTAGACCAAAAACAAGCAGCCAAGCGTGTTCAGTCACCTGCTTCCACTTAATGTTCTTCTTACTCAGTCACTGGGGACAAAGGGAAACCCCGTGCATGATTTACAAATAATGGAATGCTGGGTGATCAGTGTAAG